TGCCCTCGCCCCACGCACCCGCCCCAGCCCCTCCCCACCCCAGGGAGGGCACAGAGAGGTGCCGGTGCCAGGAGGCAGGGCTGCCAGCAACAACACAGACATTTCCCCAGGCAGCTGCCTGCATTCCTGAAAGCACAACCAGTAACTGCCAGCAAGGCAGCGGGAGGAGGCCAGCCCTCACCAGCGAGTTTCACAGCAGAACGGGGCAAGTCATGGAGCCAGGGCTTTCTGGCAGCCCAGCCGCAACACGCTGTGGTGCTTCCCCCCTTCTGACCTGGATGCTCAGCAATACGAGCAGCACCCATCTTTCTGAAGGTGTGGAGACCCAGAAAACAGGTTAAATAACTCCATGTGTAGGGATAAGATGGAGGTGGGTGCTCGTGGGAGAGTGATGAAGGCTCCGGTGGATGCACCTCTCCCACTCGTCGCTGCTGGGGATGCCGGAAGCCACTGCCAATCCCCCTGGAAGACAGCGGGCACCTCCGAGCGCCCACGCCGAGCCAGGCATTCAGCTCCTCGCCCCTGTTTGCAGTAAGCGCTGCCCAGCCCTGCTCACCCTCACGGTCCCACCAAGCCCTGGGGGGGTTTGAGGCAGAAAACCTGGTTCTGGGCAGCTTGGGCTGCTGGTGGACTCCCTGACCACACAGCCCCAGCTGTTTCAGGAGGAGGAGAGGGTCCCTTCGGCGCAGCCAAGCCAGCGCCGCCCGGCAGCGAGTGCGGGAGCTGGCAGAGCCCCGGCGCCAGTGCCAGACTTCCTCTGGCTCCGCGTGATGGGGTGGGCGTGCGCCTGCAAAGCCTTCCTGGTTTCTCAGAAGCCAAGGCACGAGCTGCCGCGGAGTTATTCCTCCCCATGCCCCTCGCCAAGGGCTCGATCCCAGCAGCGCTCAGATCTGGCTTCCCTGCAGGGACAAGGCAGAACCCTCCAAAACCTCCTCCACCCCTGCTAGTCCATCGAAGCGGATGCTCTTCACCCTGCCCTGGAAGGGGGGTCGAAGGGGATGCTGCTCTTCACCCTTCCCTGGAAGGGCAGGGCTCAGGCACCTCCTAAGAAACCAGCCAAGGACGTATTGAAAAGTAGCAGGAGGTTCTGCTGCCCGAGAAGAGGAGGAGAGATGGAGGAGTCTCTGAAGATGTTGTCCTACAGAAAATATTGAGCCTCTAAGCCCTGGAAGGAAATAGTCCATCGCTCCTCATCGGCTGCAGACGTGCCTCCACCTCCACCACCACAGCAAATGGAGCATCACCATTTGGGGGGTCTCCCACAAATGCTTGTCCCAGGGGATTTCTCCTCATCCCACTCAACTTCTCAGAGCAGATGGCATCCCCCACGGCCTGCACGTGTTGCCTACACAGGTCCAGGCTCTCCAGATCCCAGTCCTCCACTTCAGCCCCGTCGCTGGGACCAGCAGGGATGTCCCTTGCTTGCAAGGACTTGAAGCTCTCACGACCAGCTCCCTTGGCACGCTTGCTGCCAGCCTCCAGCCCGCTCCACGCGCCAGCATCGCTCTCCCAACCCATCCCCGAGGGAGGCAGGTGAACGCTTCAGCCACCCCATCCGTCCTCACCCACTCCACGGGGGCTTTTTCCCCACGTGGCCAGGCAGAGGAAAGGTCTCCCCGTGCTTTCCCAGCCTTGAAGCGTGGGGTCGGGGCAGGGAGCCTGGTAATGCTGAGAGCCGCTGGGGTCCTGAGTCACAAGCATCTCCTCTGCAGGACATGAAGTTCGGGATTGTGAAACCCAAGGCATAAACTGACAAGCAGAAAATAGTTCCTTGAATAAGTCTTCCTTCCGGCAGCCAGTCTTATCTTCTTTTTTTTCCCTGTGTTTTTTCCCTTTCGGCAGACGTGCCACGAATGCAAAGAAATGAGAGAAGGGAATAAATAACAACCAAAAAAACCCAGGTCTTGCTGAGGCAGGGTTTTCTTGTAAAGCTTCTCTTTCCGCTCAGCGGGAGCGTGAGCAAGCAGAATCGCAGCCCCGGGCTGCTCCAAGGACGCCGGCACACCAGCACCTCCGCAACCGGGCTTCGGCCCGGGCACCGCGCACGGAGTTTCGATCCTCGTTAGGGTTGGATTGGTGAGGAAAACCCCTCGGAGTCGCCCGTTTTCTGGTTGCAAGGGATGGTCTATGGACGCCCGTCGCTCAAAGCAGCAGC